AATCGCTGGAGATGTCAAATTACCTTCACGCACTGCTTCTTTTATACATATGTGTTATAGTTTCTGTGTGTGTAACAGATAGTGACAGCTATATGCATATTTTTATTTAATTTCTTGTATGTGTTGGATTACCGCCCCCTGACGATAATTACAGGCGGCACGAGATTTAAAAGAATCGATCTCTTTCTCGGTGACTTTTCATGGCGAAAAGACGTATTCTTTTCGCTCCTCCAAAATGTGAGTAATCAACTACAGACACTTAAAGTTGCTTTGGACATATCCCATTTATTTCTCATCTTTTCTTTTGTAAAATATCTTGTCAATATATTTGTTAATAGTTCTTTATTCAAATTCTGTCTCATATTTCTTTTGAGCTTACACGAGTCCACCAAAAATTGTTAGCGAGTCAAATGTACCAGGATCATATAAAATCTCATCAAAATTTTTATACCCGGAACATGTGACATAACGGTATATAAAATTTTTGGCATTAATTTCTTTCAGTTGTTCTGGTCCTTCTTTTCGTTGTGTTGTTAATATATGACGCATATACTAATGCTTAATGTGGGCAGTGGAGAATGAAGATAACCAAGACAATTATTCTCTTTTTCCAAACAACCCCTACTGACCCCATTCTGATCTGAGCATTAAAAAAAGTATTGATTTATACACAAGACATAACAATGTTAATGGTTTCTTGACTAAAATATATAGTAATGAATTTTCTATTCAATGCATTCAAAATATTGAAAATACAAAACAATCAGTTTTTAGTAAAGAAGCAATTTAACATTGTTCTCATGTTAATTTATATATATATTTTTAACTGTTGTCCTCAACTTTGTTGATTTTGATACAATGTTTCGACCGATATATCCCTCAAACTTCTTCAGCGATTTTTAGAAGTCACTTGTAAGCACCTCTTTCTCGTTGTTTCTGAAATTATGTCATATCTTGAGAAAAGTGGATATAAAAAGTTCAAAGACTTAAGAAATAAACACGATTATGTTTTATATACTTCCAGTTTCATCCCTTCTAAAAAAGAGATAAGAAGATAAAAGAAATCTAAGCATTCGTATTTATCATCCAATGACACTCCTAAAATGAAAATCTAACACCTCTCTTTTCACCTTTTTTTGGTAAACTACACCGAATCATGCTTAAACGAGCTCAAGTAGCGTTAACGTAGGCGTGAGCATACCATGTGAAAAAAACAGTTTTTTGGCCAATTAGAAAACACCTAATACCTAAATGTTTTTGGATCCTGTCTGATTACTTACACACAGATGAATCGGTAAAAGCTGTAGAAAAAAAATGCGAAACATTAGGTTAAATTACCGCTACGTTATCCTACTGTTCCGTCAGCACGTTCCTTTTGACTCCGGCGATTTTAAAAAATATAATCTTTAGTAGCAGCTGTTGATTGCTGTATCTCCTTTACATTCCTTTTATTCTGTGAAAACTTTGACACAGTTACATGAACACAAACGAACGAACGCTAGAACTACTTTTTTTAAGGATGTTTACCGTTATTCTCTTTTACTACATTTAAGACATTTCTATTATTATTTGAAGTTATACTTTTTTCTGCATTACTTGTTCTATAAAAATAGGTTTGGTCGTTTTTTAAACGCCTGGATTCCATTGTCTGATACATTCATCCTATTTCTATTCTTAAAACACGTTTTCTTTGCTACTCGAAGACTTTGAAGGAACTGAATATTAATTACTTCGGCGATATGTGTACTTGGTAGATATTTGAACAAACAAAAACCGTTATCCGATTTTCTGGGTAAAACAGTAGTTCTTTAGCATTTCGCTTCTATTTGATTGTATTTTATTATTATTATTTCCGATTCAACGAATACTATTCGTCGAAAAAGATTTCAATGCATTTCCTATGTAATAGTTTCTTTCGAAAGTAATTTTGTGCAAACTAAACACCAAAGTGGATCACAAGCTTTGAACAATTCTCCGACTTCTGATTGGCTGGTATATGTGAAAAACATTAAAACGCCTACAAGTGTTCAGGGTCAATTTTTCCGCACAAATCTGGTTATGTGTTCTCGAGCCTATCACGTGATTCACATTAATTATAAATACTTAGCGACATCTTGATTCTTCTTCTTTTCTCCTTCTCAGACCCAAAGCAATGTAGTCCAGTAGAGAGGTCGCGTTTTCTCCCTTTGGGGAAAACGCTATGAAACACACATGCACACACGAACATCGCACATTTACGAACATTCACTCCTTCAACAACAAGGACACAAAGACTTATCAACTTCTAACAAAGAGACAACGAGAATTTAACTACAACGTACACCGCTTCCGAATGCATTTCTCACTGATATTTATTTCCAGCCGTGGAATTTTTCATTAGTAATAACTTATCTTGCAACTGTTAGCTTGAGAGTTCACAGACCTCAAAACTCACTCTCAGCACATCTTTATTCAACAGATTGCTCGGAAAGGAATTCTCGGCAATTTATATCAAATCAACTCAGAAGTGTAAAGTTTAAAAGCTTCTCTTTAAACACGAATCCCAACTTTTGATCTTCAACTTATGTACAAGTATTTCTCTCACTCAACAAACTTTCAAGAATTATCTGCAACGAATCTTTTGTGGAAGAAAAACAATTTCTTGAAAAACTTTCCTTTTAACTGGAATCTATTTTCGTCAAGTAATTTTTAACTATTATCTTATTTCAGATAAAAACACTTTTCTTTGAAAGCATTAAGCAATTCAAACTAAAAAGGTAAATAACTCCTGCTATATTTAAACATTGAATTTTCAACTATAGAAATTGTAACAAACTGTTTAATTCTCTTACCAGTAACAATACATCTTACTAAAGTTCTCAAAACTCACACAGTTTTTAATACACTTCACAGTTTATCATCAAGAACAATTTCCTCACTCAAAATTCCAAGGACAAGTAAATTTCAGCATTTCAAACACAAATGAACAATTGTACAATTGTTGTTATGCATATATAAATTACATTTACTTATGCAACTACTTTGTTGAATGTTTCTTCTTATTGTTTCGTATTTTGTGGTATTTTGCGTAAATATAAATTAGTTAGGGCTCTGACCCTACACACGCACACACGAAAAAACACACACACACATATGGTTATGTGTTCTCGAGCCTATCACGTGGTTCACATTAATTATAAATATTTGGACACATCTTCACTCTTTCTCTCTAGCCTTCTCTCACATACAAGATGTAGATCAGTGGAGAGGTCGCGTTTGTCAATTTGGGGAAAACGCTATAAAATGTCATGACACATACACGCGCGCGTACACGTACATACAAACATCTACGAACATTTACTCCTTCAACCACAAGGACAGAAACTGTTTGTCTTACAAGTAATACATAAAAAAAGTTCTCCAATACTCACACACTTTTAATACACTTTACTATTTATCAACAAGAGCATTTTCCTCACTCAAAATTCAAAGGACAAGTAAATTTCAGCATTTCAAACACAACTCAATTACTGTCTGTACAATTGTTGTTATGCATATATAAATTCCATTTACTTATGCAACTTTTCTTCTTCAATGTTATTCTTCTTGTTAGTTTGCTTATGCCTTGTTAATGTAAATTAAAAACGCTACAGTTGTTTTTTTTTTTAATTCTACTAATTTGTAAAAGTCACAAACAAACAAAACCTAACAAACATAAAAGCAGTCAATAAAAGATATACATTACCGTCTTCAACATCGCCATTTATCTCTGCAAAAATAAATACATAAAATTATAAAAACAAAAAGGTTCTCATGAAATTAGTCGCTATCATGATCCCCAAAGCAAACAATCTCCTGTCACTAAAAATCAACCACAAAAGTATGTCTACTCAAACTTTCGAGTCAGCTACAATTTCACAAAAATAAATTCATGTGTCATTTATAAAAACAAACATTTTCACTTAACTCATTTTTTAATATCTAAAGATTGCATTTTTCCCTCTTACCATTGTTTTAATTTTATGTTTTAAAAAACGTTTCAATAAATTTGTTTCTCTAAAAAGTAACTGACTACTCAAGTAAAAATAAAAATCGAAAGATTTCATATGACTGAAAATAATTTAGACCATAAAATACATATTTTCTGTCAGAAACAACATTTATAGTGATTAGTTGCTAGAATGTAGCAAATAAAATCTTAAAAGCCATTAAAATTAGCCTTCCCGAAATAATAAGAGAATAACAGTTAAAATGTTTATAACAGTTTAACTCCAAAGTGACCTAAGCTTTTTCTTTTAATTATCCGTTCATAATATTTCTCAATTTTCGTTATAGTTTTTTTTTATAACATTGGTATTAACTTTTTAATGGTTTTATCATTTCGACCTTAAAATTAAATTGCAAGTGCGAAGTAATAACTGCTTCATACTAGACCCATAAACACTTTAAAGTACTACTAAGCTGTTTGATAGGTTTAACTTATCAACCAAAAGGCGATAACTAAAACTAATGGAGAGGCAAAGCATGCTATGTTTGCAGTGCTACGTAAAAACCAAGGTTTTCGTTTTGAACTCTTCCATGGTTTTTCTTCTTGTTGAAAAAAGCCAGGCGGATAGGCACCACCATTAAGATTAATTTTACTATTTGGTCGACTTTTTCTCCTAAAACCGTTTTGCTTCTTTGTGGTTGACACTATTTGGTCTGGTCTCGCAGTCTGTGGCCTGTAAGTCATTTGACAAAAGACAGAATCTTCTGCATTAGGTCTGAATTTTGGACATTGCCATGGCACGAAGCTTTTTATATGTTGAATCGAAGTCGGTGATCGTAACCATTCTATAGCTTGATGAACTGTGATTATATACACGTCGTCCATGGCAACAAGGTGAAGTAGAAACTCATCCATTGCGGCAAGGCTTTTAGGTTGATCCAGCCACGGCGAATGCAAATTTAAATAATATGGCGCCCTGTTGGTGCGATAATTACGTAGAAAATTCTTCCATAGAATTTGAAAAGCTTCCTCTTTAGTCCGGGGTTTGTTTTGACAAAAGTCGACATAAGCGCAAGGAAGGTGTTCTCTGTAGTCCATCAAAGTAACCACTGGAATCTCCCATAATCCTGGATAGGATCCCTTCGGGCATGGTTGGATGTTGCAGCCAACACTAAGTGGATAATCCAATGTAAATGGCCACAAAACAGGCGAATATACATTTCTTGGAAAAGGATGTGTTAAAGTCGCGTCGTAGGTGAAGTTGTTTTCCCAAAGGATTTCGAACATAGTATCGCCCGTCGGTTGGAGAAATGGGCTCCTCCAACCTCGAATTTCGTCCAATGGAATTTCAGCCAGTTTGGCGAGGTTGTTACGTTGAGTTAAAATTTCTATTGCAAGTTCTTCTTTTGTAGCATTGCTCCACCAATTGTGTGGAACCTGCAAAAACAAAGGAATAATATTTGAAAGCCTAACGAATTTACGATGGAATTCGTAAACGAAAACAACGCTATTTATTAAATAAAATAAAGAAATAAAGACCTTAATCCTAATTCATTGCATTTTCTTTAAGAAATGACGAAAGATCACCGAATCACCTCCATTAAAATATAGTCCACTAGGAATAGGAAGGTTGGCCTATCGTTATGCGTCAAACTCCTACCCTGTCTTTTGAACAGGAGTAGAGGTTTATCTCTTATTTCCTGTTTAGGATTAGGTTTCCGGTTCTTTCTAAAGTCTGCTTCAACTAGGGCCGGATTTAGATGAAGAGAGGCCATAGGCGATTCCACTTGTGAGACCCCTTCAAATTCCGCATTCTCACGAGTAGAGGGAAATGGAAGAGTGTTAAATTAAACACCTTGAGTAAAGCCGAGGATGATGACGGGTGTTTAAAATTATTGAAGGGTTATTTAGAGTCTACAATGCATTATGACAGCATGTGTAAGAAAGACCTATGACAGTGTCAAATATATTATACACCTTGGCTGGAGGACCCCTAGATTTTGAAGTCCTAGGCTTCAGCCTGCTAAGCTTATAGGTAAATCCGACACTGACCAACTATATATTCCTAACACATCTGCTTGCTTACGATAGTACAACTCCCCACAGTAACCCTCTACCTTGAGTAGCCCTTGGGCCTTGTATTGGGTGAAGATTAGTTAAAGAAAAATAAAGGTATTTTCAATCAAACGTATAAGCAGTTTGGAATACCGTAATTTAAAAGTTGATATAATTGCTGCGTGAAGAAATTTTAATACGGAAAAATATATTTCTTGGAAGAATAATGTGTACAGTAAAATAACAACATTGCGGAAATACGACCATAAAAAATAATCCTACATAGTGATTTTCCAAGCGTAGCTTAGATGTGGCACAAGGCCGAAAATAGGGGGCATCCAGTGAGGATCAAACTCACTACTCAGTGGTAATTGTTCTAGCGAGACAAGCTTGCTAACCACTATATCGCCTCGAAGTGCCCATAAAATTATTTTCTAAGCATAGCTTAGATGTGACACGAAGCCGAGAGTATGGGGCACCAAGTGAGGATCGAACTCACTACTAAATCGTAATTGTTCTAGCGAGACAAGCTTGCTAACCATTACACCGCCTCGAGGTGCCCCGAAAAATAATCCAACATAAGGCAACGGCATTCCTTACCAAGAACAGTTGTATGAAATGAAGGAAAAAAAAACATCATCATGTGCTCGAAGCAAATGCTGTGGGCTAGCACGTGAGAGCGAGGGACACCCTCAAAAAGGGAACCAGATACTTATTGTAACCACCTTTAACGTAAAGTAAGTAGTTTTTCGATATAAACACTGTTTATTGGTTAACAATTGTCTTTTCTACAAATATTTTCATGGCAATTGTTTCTAATGAGCACTTTTCGTTAGTGCCTCGACTACATGAATTTAAGCGTGCTACTAGATTGGCAACTAGGTATCAACGTTTTATTGTTGAACTAACTAGATGCAACTGCCACTTCTATTTTAATAGTTTATTTTCTCGCACTTCTTACCTGTGGACATCTCTTCCGGTTTCTTGCTTCCCTGCCAACTACAATCTTCAAAAATTTAAATGCAGCATCAATCGCCATCTTTTTTCTTCCGGAACTCTCTTCCTTTATTGTCTTTTCCTCACTTCTTCTCACTAAAGTCTTCTCATTCACTTTCACTCCATGTAAGCCACCCCACCCCGTATTGTCGCCTAGCTCGGGGTGGGGTGGGTATGAAACGATTAAAAAACGACAAAACTTTACGATAGCTGCTTTTAAAAAGTAGCGGGCCGGTTCGGTAACTGAATTGCAAAATAAAATAAAAAAAACTTTGTCCCGTTTTTATTCCCGCCGCAATTTTTTTTCTTAATTCAGCTATTTTATAAAATGGTTTCTGGAACAAACTGATATCTACTTATATCGGTAAAATGGGTCCCAGAAGGCGACGTCTAACAACAGCTAATTGGCTAGAATCCCATGAGTGCCAGGTATTTGGTAATATACCTTTAGCAAACTATAAACGGTTAACACTACTTAATGTAACGTAGAATGCACCAGATTTTCCTATTCTCCTTACTACCCCAGACACCACGAGGGTGTTAGCGTAGCAGTTTCCAAGTTGACACGTCATAGTGGTGTTACTAACCGGCAAACATAACGGCTTGGAAATAATCAGCTTCTTGAATGTTGACAGGTCCTTCATGTTCAAAGTCAAGACCGAGCTAGGGGCCCTCTATCGGGGACGTTTCATAAGTGACCAATGCCATTTGTTTTACAATGATGATCACTCTGTACAAGGCCCGAGATCCACTCGATGTAGAGGGTTACAGAATAATAGGCACAGTTTATATGGATAGGTGGGGGAAATAACGGTTAAACCTAAATTTGAATAGGTTAAAATTGTTGTGATCCGGGAAGCATCATCTTGGGAGTCGGTTCCTCAAAGCAACGATTCGTGGGAATGAGCTCCTCGAATAGAACTTACATCTCACCAATGGAATACCGATGGAATGAGGGTGGTTCGCTGCAATGTGCATAGTATGACGGATCCTAGCCGTGATGGTTAGAACTGGTGGAACTAAGGAATGTTGTTCACCTGAGCACTTTCCATGCAAATAGCGATAAAGTAGCGGGAGGCTTGCAATCTTTCGTCTGTGAGAAAAGGGATTGCAGGGTGGAAAATAATTTGTCAGTCGCAAGGACGCGAAGACGCTTTATGGAGACTGGAAAGTGAAGACTGTGCAGCTCCTGCCCATATATGATAGCAGTCTCCCTTTTCGGCCTGGTATGGCTCTTATAAAGGCAGAGGATAGCAGGGCGTGTCAGGTACTTACTGGAGCATAAAAACATTTTTTCAGCTTCTTTAGCGATGGATCGTATGTACGAGTTCCGCTTGGGGTATCGGTTGAGTTTAAGTGCCAAGAGGTGCTCATGACCTCCTAGGTGATGTAATTACGTATTTATTATCGCTGCCAAAGGACAAAGTTCGAGCTAATTAAAACCAAAACTTCAGCTGCTGATTTTCATTGGAAGTAGCTCTTTCTTACATTAAAAGATGAACACAACGCAATCTTCCTATCCACAATCAACATCTTTTATTTGGCCTTGTGCCATATACAGCTACGTTTAGTAAATATCAAGTTTCGCATTGAACAATGATTCAAAAGAGCGTAATTTTTCTCATCAATAAGTTTGTCAAATATTAGTAAAATTTCACAATACTCTGGTCACATAAATCTATTTGGGATATTTTAGTCGACAGTCACGTTTTACTGTCATTTCTGCAGACAAATTTTGTAGTACTAAATTAGTTGTTACTCTGATCTGACAAGTGATCTCTCCGGCTATTTTATCCATCACAGTCATGCGTGATATTTGGCGATTTCAAATAAGCTGTAGAGGAGGGAGAGACAGAAACGTAATTATTTTTGGAAACTACACGTGCCCAGACGACAGAATATTGGCCCGGAATGGATAATCACGCGAATATTCAATTTAAGTAAGCAACATTCAAGAGCCAGCCACCTGTACGTTTCTGACTGACAAACTTTTCATAATCTTCACCCCACGTGATCCATCAAAATGTTCCACTTAAAACAAGAATCAAGGCTGTAGAGATGGTGTATTAAATACTCATAGTCGCCTATTACGAATCGCAAATGTATGTTAATTGCTGCTTAGAGGCTGTTTCGTGACTGAGATAGTTGTGTATTGATCACAGGTACTAAAGTTAGTGTTTTGAATGCTGATTTTCAAAGCAATCACTTTTCCACTTTGTATATTAGAACAATCCAATTTTTCTACTTCATTTATCCTGTTTGACTTTTCATTGAGTAACCTATAAAATCTGTTCAGTTTTGTCCTCAGATGGCATTAGGAGTGTTTAGTGTTAATTAACTTCATGCAAAAAAAAAAAAAAATTGCTTTTGATTTTATTGTGACAACTGTTATAAGAAGCGTGTATAATTTTAAATATCAAGTGCCGTACATTTGTCTGTAGATTGTAGTGCTGAAAATGGAAGACTTTTCTTTTTTATTTTAAGAATGGTAAAAATGCGACTCTAATGCAAAAAATTCACGAAAAGAAAAATACACATTCTTGTCATTAATTTATGTTATTATTGTACGTTTTATTCATTTCATTTTCAGTATAAAAATGTAAAAGGAATCCTCTATCAACTGTGGTGAATACGAAATAAAAATAACTCTTTCCCCCACTGTTTTCAATTTCGCCAGCCTATGTGAAAATTTATTTTGACGAATAGAAAAAGGATTGGCTCCAGGCTGAAGAAAAGACAAGGCAAAGTTTAACGAGCCTATGTGAAAATTTATTTTGAGCAATGGAAAAGGGGGCGGCTTAAAAACTCAGAAAAAAGTAACAAACCGATGTTATATCGCTTTTTGATATAAATAGACAGAGAATGTTGAATCAAGGCAGAGAGAAAGAGAAAACGCAGAAAGAAGCAGGAGGCAGAAAGCCAGAGTTCCAAGCGTTTGAATAACGCCGGTGTCAAATTATACGTTGATACATTATCAGCTTCTGATGACAGCAGGGCAATTTTAAAGAATTCTATTCAACTCCAAAGATAAGTACCTTAAAATATATATTTTCATTCATGCTGAATACAACCGTATGACTATTATGTGAAAAATAAACTCTTTTAGTTTGTTTTTAAACATTTAGGAATATTACTTTGTGTCCGATGATTTAATGGGAACATTTTCTCTTCTTGACAATTTATCGAAACTACGAACTTTAAATATTTGATTTCTTTTCCTGAAACAAGCTACTGTCAACTTCAAATATATAAATTTGTATATAAATTCCTTGTTTTGTTAAATATAACACGTGTGTTTCCTCGTCATTAACCCCTAATACTACACAACTATTAATACATGTGACACGGGGTAACTTACATTGACAACTCAACCTTTAACCCTGTTA